GGAAACATTCAGAAAACAAACTTGGGTTTTTTTTGTTTGTTTTTTTGGTTTTTTTTTTGAGACGGAGTCCAGCTCTGTCACCAGCTGGAGTGCAGTGGCGCGATACTGGCTCACTGCAACCTCTGCCTCCCGGGTTCAAGCGATTCTCCCGCCTCAGTCTCCCGAGTAACTGGGACTACAGGCATGCTAAGGGAAATACCAACTGATACAGGAAGGTCAGAAAAACTGAAAATTACTTAGCCACTAAACTGCTTTTATCAATGTGGTTACCAACAGCATGGAATAGAGGAAAAGTGGTTAACAGAGCTGTCTGAGTTATAATCTAAATCGTGCAAATCTGTAGGTTACTTAACCTCTTTATGTTTCAGTTTCCCTTTGAGGTCAGTAGTTAGGTATTATTTCCAACTTATAGATAACGGAAGTATAAACAACGTCAAATATTACCTAAGATCCCAGAGCTAGTTAAGCAGTATAAGTAGGATTCAAACCCAGGCAACTAGGTATTCAAAGCTCTTAATCTCACAATATTCCGCCTCATGCAGTTTCCTACCTCATAGGGTTGTTGTGAGAATTAAATGAGATAATCCATATAAGCTACTAAGAATAGTACTGCGCATACAAATGGGGCTTAAATATTAACTATTCTTATATGAATACTATCATGATTGTTACTACTGAATGACTTCAGGAACATTACTTTCATTAGAATATACCAGAAATCCAGAAGACAATGAAGGACTGAACAAAAGACGGAAAGTGAGAACAGCAACTCCAAGTTCAGGTGAAGCCCTATGAAAGAAAAGAGACTCTAAAGTGGAAGAGATCCGAGCACTGTTACAGGCAAGGGAGAGGAACCTGAAGACACCAAGAAATTAGACATACCCAAGAAACACTACCTGATGGTGCAAGACCTCAAGGAATACAAGATATGGGATAAAGGGAAAAGCAGAAAGGTTAAACTTACACACAAGGAAAAAAAGTCCTTTCTCTAAGACAGCACAAAGCCAAAAGGACATGTAAAGGAACAGACCATTGAGACTATGGAAGAGGATGTTAGGGCTGTTCATATTACATGGCATTTATTTTCTCTGTGATTTTTTTTTTTTTTTTTTTTTTTAACCTTTGTACAAGATTTTATTAAAGGTCTTTACAGAGCAACAACCAGACTCTAGAATACAGCTGCCAAGGAGACCCTGTTACACTGTGGGGACTGGCTGGGACAATGCAGGTGGCTCTGGTTTCCCACCCTTCTGAGATAGGGGTGGTGGGCAGCATTTCATCTTTGGGTTCCATGATGCTCACGTGGTCAGGCAGGGGCTTTTTAAGGCAAATCTTACCAGTTTGGAATCAGACCATTCTTAAAACAACTTGCATTTACTGAAGACACTGGGCAGACAGTCAGATGTGCATATCCCAATCAGCTTGTCCAATGACCCCATTAGAACCTGGGGTAGAGCTGCTACCCTGCTTGCCCAAGGTCACACGTTTCCAGGCTATGTAAGGTCTAAAAGAACCCACAGCTTTTCACTCCCAATCCCACATGCTTTGCCTTTCTAGAAAAACAAAGTTGTGTCTAAAACCCAAATCCTCAGGTCAATGTGTTCTCTTGACAGACACCGAGGCCTAATCTTTCCCTTAAGATTTTATCCATACGAATTCCACGCCAGTCTTTATTTTCTGGACCCATAGTACCCTGTGTAGTTCCATTGATCTAAGACCACAACCGGTGAAATTAGCATGTTTCAAGTTCATTTCTTTCATAAAGTCTTTCTCAACTGTTAAGTACCTTAAGAAGCACCGTTTGTCTGAACTTTACATCCAGATCATTAATACCAATGAGTGTTAATTCAAAGATAAGCATATTAAACATCCATTAAATCTATTATGTTGTTTTTAGAAACTTTTTCACGTACCTTTTTAATCCTTAAAACTTCCTTTATATTCTAACATAATCTAGATTCTCACCAAATCATAAAGACTTTGAGAGTAAATTCTGTCATACAAATATTTTATATATAGAAATAATAACACACCATACAAAATATATTCTCTAAAATAATAAGAAATGTTCTTTGGTTTTTCTATTTTTCCTAATATACTCTCTTTCAACTGTATCCCCAATCCTTAAAATAACATTAGAAAATCCATTGTAAATGAACTTAAAGCAAACTCAAAGGGCCACACCACCAAAGCAGCAAATCTCTAATAGCATTTGCTCCAAGAACTGCTATAGAATAGAAAAACAAAGGACCTGTAAAAGAAGTACCATATTATAAATGTGGTATATTTCAGAACACAAATTATGTTAATATACTTTCCTAAGCTTAAAAAACACCATAGGTTACTAAAAACAATAAAATCATAGCCAAACAATAATTTCAAATACCAAAATAGTAATCTCTTTATTGAATGCCAGTTATTCATTAAAGAGTCATAAACAAATGGGAACAATATCTACCTAAAAAATGTTCCAAGAAACTTACCATCATTTTGGCCCTTGCCCTTCATCTCCTCCTTCCATGATAGAATGCTGTTCAGGGGAACATAGTCTCTTAGGTATTCTTTGCGTCTCTCTTCTAAGGTCATCTTCAGTAAACGTTCTTGCAAAATAAAAGCAGAATCTCCATTTGTATTTAATGTTTAAACAAGGGAATTATGTTTATACTTTAAGTATTAACCAAGTTAAGCTAACAAAAGAGTTGATACAGTCCTGAAGAACAACACAATGCAAATCCAGTGACTCCATATTTAAATGTTAAAAATGTTAAATTTCATATTACCAGGGGAGAAAAAAATCACAGCCTGATGAAGACTCTCTTGTGATAGTCCAAGAAATAAGTAAACTCATTTACACTTTCAATCAACATCTATAGTTTACTATGGGCCAGGAGATATGCTGGATAAGCGATATGGTTTGGATATATAGCCCCTGAAATCTTACGTTGAAATGTAGTCCAAGAAATAAGTAAACTCATTTACACTTTCAATCAACATCTATAGTTTACTATGGGCCAGGTGATATGCTTGATAAGCGATATGGTTTGGATATATAGCCCCTGAAATCTTACGTTGAAATGTAATCCCCAATGTGGGACGTGGTGCCTAGTGGGAGGTGACTGGGTCATGGGAGCAGATCCCTCATGGCCTGGTGCTAGCCTCAAATAGTGAGTTTTCGTGAGATCTGGTTGTTTAAAAGTGTGTGGTACCTCCCACCAACCCTCTCTTGCTACTGTTCTTGCCATGTGAAGTGCCTGCTCCCACTTCATTTTGCCCCTGTAAAAGTAAAAGCTCCCTGAGGCCTCCCCAGAAGACCTAACAGATGCCAATGCTATCCTTGTATTGCCTGCAGAACCATGAGCCTATTAAATGTCTTTTTTTAATAAACTACTCAGTCTTAGGCATTTCTTTACAGCAACTGCAAAAACAGTCTAACACAGTGAGATACAAAATAGTACCTATATAAATAAAATACTGAGACAGGTATGTACAAATAGTAAGAGCACAAAAAAGGCAACCACCACGATATTTCCTCAATTGCACTCTCTATTTACTTATAGCTTTGTGTAGATGACATAAGAATTGCTTTAAATATATATCTCTATCTTGATGATAAAATGAAAATATTTTACAAATTGCATCTTACAGTTAATTACAGGGGATGTCGTTTATAAAGAACTCACTATGGCCAGGTACTTCACATATAAATCTCATTAAAATAATCTTCCTAATAACTCATAAAATTGATAGTATTATTATACCAATTTTGCAGATAAGGAAATGAAACACAGCAAAGTAGTTTGCCCAAAGCAAGAGAGCTTTCAGGAAGTAAGCCAAAATTAAAATTCAGACAGACATCTCCATTAGTCAAAGACTACACCCTATGTTATTTATTCCACTGTACTACACTACATTCTCAGGAAAACTCCCCAAAAAAGGTAATATGTATGCTGGTTCATGAAGGACAGGAAAAATTTTGCATGAAGAGGTAAAAAGAACATTTCAGACTAACAAAACAATGTAAACAAAGGAGATATGAATACTATAACCAAATGAAGCTGCAAGATATGGTATGAGAAGAGGAATGGCCACAGAAGTGAAAAGTAGCCAGAAACAAAAATAAAACTGTATAGGGACTTGTATGCCATAGTGAGTAGTTTTAACCTTTATCCTATAGACTACTAACATTGAAAGTTGATTATGCATTTCCCAGACAGTATATAAAACAACCCACTAGGACACAGGAAAATATGTAAAAAATTCCATTTACATTCGTTTTTAACCCAAACAAGGAAGAAATATTTACCAGTATTCAATGTATAAACTGACACTGGCTTCCTCACTCTGTATGTCAGCTTTCATGTCTCCCATACCGTAACAATGGTCTCCACAATGTAGAGAGAGAGACAGTTATTTCTCATACTCTCCAATTATCTTTCAGTGTATCACAAGGTACTGCAGTTTAGGGAAATGGATTCAAGGATAGTTAGTATCTAGTTTAAATGTAATCTAACCTTCACAAAATAACCACTTTAAAAGATTATTGCACAGAAATAAACTGCAGAAGTATTAACGTAAGCACAAGTGAACAGAAAATGGGGAACCAATATTTTTCCCACTCCTGTAACTAGAACTTCAGCCACATTAGGAGACAAAAATATATATATATATATAAATCAGAGGTGAAGTATTCACATAAATTGAGTTTAAGGTACCTATAGGACACTGCAGAAGTTGAAATCAAGAATCTGGAAATTTAAAGAGTGGTCTAGCCTAGAGATTTTAGAAATTATAACCTAAAATTCTAGTCCTAAAGGAAAAAGAAGAGGGAACAGAAGGAAGCATCAAACCTCAAAACACAGTATTTAGGAAGTGGGCACAAATAGGAAAACAATGAAATAAATCTTAGTTGTCACCAGTGGTACAAGTTCCTGGTAATGGGGAAACATTCAGAAAACAAACTTGGGTTTTTTTTGTTTGTTTTTTTGGTTTTTTTTTTGAGACGGAGTCCAGCTCTGTCACCAGCTGGAGTGCAGTGGCGCGATACTGGCTCACTGCAACCTCTGCCTCCAGGGTTCAAGCGATTCTCCCGCCTCAGTCTCCCGAGTAACTGGGACTACAGGCATGCTAAGGGAAATACCAACTGATACAGGAAGGTCAGAAAAACTGAAAATTACTTAGCCACTAAACTGCTTTTATCAATGTGGTTACCAACAGCATGGAATAGAGGAAAAGTGGTTAACAGAGCTGTCTGAGTTATAATCTAAATCGTGCAAATCTGTAGGTTACTTAACCTCTTTATGTTTCAGTTTCCCTTTGAGGTCAGTAGTTAGGTATTATTTCCAACTTATAGATAACGGAAGTATAAACAACGTCAAATATTACCTAAGATCCCAGAGCTAGTTAAGCAGTATAAGTAGGATTCAAACCCAGGCAACTAGGTATTCAAAGCTCTTAATCTCACAATATTCCGCCTCATGCAGTTTCCTACCTCATAGGGTTGTTGTGAGAATTAAATGAGATAATCCATATAAGCTACTAAGAATAGTACTGCGCATACAAATGGGGCTTAAATATTAACTATTCTTATATGAATACTATCATGATTGTTACTACTGAATGACTTCAGGAACATTACTTTCATTAGAATATACCAGAAATCCAGAAGACAATGAAGGACTGAACAAAAGACGGAAAGTGAGAACAGCAACTCCAAGTTCAGGTGAAGCCCTATGAAAGAAAAGAGACTCTAAAGTGGAAGAGATCCGAGCACTGTTACAGGCAAGGGAGAGGAACCTGAAGACACCAAGAAATTAGACATACCCAAGAAACACTACCTGATGGTGCAAGACCTCAAGGAATACAAGATATGGGATAAAGGGAAAAGCAGAAAGGTTAAACTTACACACAAGGAAAAAAAGTCCTTTCTCTAAGACAGCACAAAGCCAAAAGGACATGTAAAGGAACAGACCATTGAGACTATGGAAGAGGATGTTAGGGCTGTTCATATTACATGGCATTTATTTTCTCTGTGATTTTTTTTTTTTTTTTTTTTTTTTGAGACGGAGTCTTGCTCTGTCGCTCAGGCTGTAGTGCAGTGCACGGTCTTGGCTCACTGCAACCTTCCCCTCTCAGGTTCAAGCAATTCCCCTGCCTCAGACTCCCCAGTAGCTGGGATTACAGGCGTGGCCACCACGCCCATTTAATTTTTTGTATTTTTAGTAAAGATGGGGTTTCACCATGTTCGCCAGGATGGTCTCAATCTCCTGACCTCGTGATCCGCCCGCATTGGCCTCCCAAAGTGCTGGGATTACAGGCGTGAGCCACTGCACCCAGCCCTTCTCTGTGAATTAAAAAGGCAATGTCATCTCTTTAGTATGGGGGATAGGGTCTTGAGAGAACAGAAAACGTGAAGGGAATGGTAAATTTAGAATTACCACATAAAGGCAGAAAAGGGAGATGATCAGTAGTATGCCAAAGAAGTGCTAAAAAGGCTCAGATCACAAATAAAAAATTATTACAACATTACTGGGCAGGTTAAAAGACATTATGAAGCAACTTACAGTTTTCGTGAATGTCAAAAGGTACATACAGAAATGCAACCTGGCCTCTATTGCTCCAGTTATTTAAAAGTTGAAGTGTGAACACTTAAAAACGAGATCAATTTAAAACAAAACAATGAAATAAGTTGCAATACTCGAAAATGCACATTAGTGGTTCTGAATTAGGACTCAAAATACTAGATCAAAAATGTTTATTTAAACATATGTGGTCTTCAGAACTCCTTAATTACTTGTTTAAACAACGAAACATACTGAAGGCCACAAATATATATGCATTTTCTTTGTCATTTCATAAAACTTTTCTTTAAAGAATGCTTCACCTTTACAATGAGTCCTTTCTCTGTGAACCAAGCATTTAAGTAGGCGACCTATTTATTAAATGGTATACTGAATTAAAAATATGTTTATAGAATGCCTTAACATTTCAATGAGTTAGGTAAGCCTTCCTTTAGCTTTAAAGGACAGCTGCAAAAATACTATACCATCAGCTTCCCAGTGGGCTGAAACGAAAAAGGTCATGCATCCCATCAGCTTCTCTAATACTAACTATGGTACTAGAAATCCTCAGCTCTTCCTTGGGGGTATAATATATATTTTAAATAATCCAAACATAGACATCCTGAAAAAAAACACTGAGAGATGCATTAAAGTCTTCGTATCACAGTAACGTTTTCCTTTAACATTAAACTTCATGGAAAAATAACTTAGTTTTGGATAATTACTTTGTTAATTGCCTTATTTAATGGTGCACTTGCTTCCTTAGGAAAAAAAATTGGTTATATCTTCTCCATTATTAGAAGAGAAGAAAAGAAATCAAGACATTAAAAAAGATTCTAAAATGCCTGCTGGTCACAGTCCAACGGTGTAGATGTTAAATGAAGGAAACATTATAACGTTATTACTTGAGGAACATTGTTTTTCTATTATGACAGAAAAATAGTTCTTAAGTACTCACTATAATTTCATCAATGATTCATGTTACTGAAAACAATGTCTGTGTCTTCCACTGTTTTGCCCTCATTATCATCAATAATACAAAGCTAACATTTCAGCATCATCAATAAATATGGGCATAAATGAGTTTTCAGTGCTCACAAGGTAAATCCTTGTTGAAAGCCTGTTGAAACTACAGTAACTACTACTGAAAAAACAAAGCAAAATTATTTTACACTACTTTATCAGGCTGTTATTCTTGACAGCATTTGATTTATAACACCACAAGTGTTAGCTCTCTATACACCCATAATTATTAAAACATAATTAAATGATTAAACTTTCAACACTTTTAAAGATCATTTTAATTGTGTTGTTCAGTTATATTATGTTAAATCTTCCTGCAGCAAATTTGAAAACAAATTCCCTCCTCATGCCTTTGCTCGTGCATTGTGGAAGCAGATCCTATATAGAGGATTCTTTTTCCAGACTAATTCCCTTTCTTACCTCCACTGTTTGGCCTTCATGTTCATAAAGGCCAGGACTTGCAATAAAAATCTACAGGTTTCAACGAACTACTAACAAAGAAATCAACTTTCTACCCAGTCACCCCATACCCTTTTGTAAACATGAGGTATCCAGGAGAAACGTGCACTACCCTCAATAGACCTCACCCTTGCTATACAGGTTTTAGTGTATTTTAGCAATTGGAGTGCAAGAAGTTTTTGCTACATTTCTGTAAATAACTAAAGAATGAAAAGGAAAGAGGTGTGAAAAGGAGGGTGAAAAAACGCCAGGAACACTCAACTTAGAATTATCTAACTGTGATGGCGTAAGGGGGAGATCTTGGTGGGAGAGGCTGGATCGTACACTTGTGTTTCTTCAAGAATCAGTGCCACTGTCAATCTAGCTGATTTGGATAAACTTTATATGCACAAAATTCAAAGATGGGTTCATTCAGAGTGACATTAGTCACAAAATCTTACTCTGAGCAACTTCAGCCCATGAATGGTGATGGAATACAGAGAAACACTGTTAGGAGAAAAGCCCATTCAGACTTCTCTTAAGGCACTTATCCTCACGGACAACACGCTCGTTTTAGGGCTCCCCTAGAGTTCCAGGTTTCAAAAGTCACGCTGCGGCAGCGAAGCAAGGAAACCTAGACAAGGGGTAAACACCCGATGGTGGGAACACTTGAACATTTGGGGGTTGGGGGACAAGAACGAGAAGGAAAGACATGAGGGTGCAGGAAGCGCGGAGGCACAGCAGCAGCTGCAGCCTCAGCACCCGCCGGCGGGCACGTGTCCGCGGGACACCCGGGCCGGCAGTGCCCAAGTCCCAGCTGCGGTGCAGAGGAACTTGTGCCGCGCCCAGGGCTACCGCCTGGGGGTCCCCGTCGCGAGCGAGGCGAAGGCAGCACCGCCTCGGGAGAGGGTGACCGGGTGCCGAGGGCGACAGAGAGGGGCGTGCGCCCACACGTGCGCGAGCTGCAGGTGCCCAGGGGCGGCGCGTGCACGCCGAAGTGCGCGCGCGTGTGCGCGTGTGTACACACGGACACGGGAGGGAGGCGGCACCGGCCGGGAGGGCGCGAGGCGGGAGCTCGGGCGGAGGGCGCCGCGGCATACACAGCCCGACCCCCGCCCCCACCCCAACCCCCACCGCCCGCACCCCCAGGACTCGACGGGCCGGTTACCTTTCTCCTCTCTCCACACCTTTTTCTTCTTGTTGCTGGGGTACATGTTGCCGTGGGGGTGGCTGGCTTTAAGCTGCAAGTTCCCCAGGCTCACGGGCAAACAGGGTGTGTGTGGAGTGGGAGGGGTGGTAGGGGGCACTCAGCAGGGAAAAAGTGAAAGAGGCTCCGCGTCCTGCGCTGCTCGCCGCTCGCTGCTCTCCAGTCGCCGCCCTCCTCCCTCAGCCCGCGCTCGGCTCCGGCTCCCACCCGCCTCAGCCCCGCGGACGCCGCCACAGCAGCACCTCAGAGCCTGTCAACTAGGTCACGCCTCGCGCTAACCTAACACCCGCGCAGGCACCGCCTACCAGCCGCTAGGCAGCGCCGCCTCCCATTGGCTGCACTGCCCGCCGCTCTCCGCGTTCTAGCCACGGCGCGCCCCAACTTGGGCCCCAAGGCGCACGCGCAAGCGCAGGCTCGGGCTCGACGCCGAGGACGTTAGGGAGCTGGAGGAGGCGGAGCCAGGGAGCGAGGGGGCGGAGCCAGGGAGCGAGGGGGCTGGAGCTGGCCTCGAAACGGGGGCGGGGCTTGGAGCCGATGCCTAGGAGGAGCGGGAGTTGGACCGCGCTCACCGCTGGCCTCTTGGAAGACTTGAGGGCGTGGCCTGTAGGGCCAGGTGCGCCAAGTGACGGGCGAGCTAGCGGGCGAAAGCCGCCTCAGGGACTTGGAGGATGGACAAGTGGAAGGAGACCGAGGGTCAACACGAATTGTCCGTACTCACTCCAACTGCCCTGTTGGGGAGAATTTTTACCAATTAATTTGATGCTTTCCTCTGGGTGGGCAACTGAAAAAGACCAAAAGAAATGAAAGTATTGGGAAATGGTTCCACATCGTATGCAGTTGGTTCCTCAAACTTGTAATGGAAATTACAAATTTCATTGGAATTTGGTGGTTTAGAAAGAACAAATGTAGACTGGGATACTCAAGACAGTTTTAAGAACCAAGAAGTTGCGGACAACCAAAATGTCATATTGGAAACACGTCTTACATCAAAACAAATCCAGATGCCTGTTAACCAGAGCCAAGTGGTCTTACTTGATTCTACTAATTGCTTAACGTTAAGACACAGATCCAAAAAGCTGGCTTAATTCTGAATAATACTAACCTGGCGAGTTCTGAAAATCCGGTTTCACATGAGTAGGGTGACCTATAATTTACAAATTTGGTACCCTCCCCCCAAATTTATTGTGTTTCTATATATCAGATCATCTTCAAGGCTAACTGAGTGGATGTGGTAAATCCACATTTATTTGGCAATTTGGGTACTATGTTATATATATATATTTGGCAAATAATTATTTGGAACACATTTTTAAAAAATAATAGAAGAGAAAAGGAAGAAAAGGGGGAGGCCTCGATAAGAATTGTAAAGAATGGAATATTTTTGGTAGTAGGACACTCTCATAAGGATGATTCACAAAATGGTAAGGTAATTTTTGTTTTGTCTTTTTTTTTTTTTTTTTTTTGAGACAGAGTTTCACTCTTGTCACCCAGGCTGGAGGGCAATGGCTCCATCTCAGCTCACTGCAACCTCTTTCTGCCAGGTTCAAGCAGTTCTCCTACCTCAGCCTCCGGAGTAGCTGAGATTACAGGCATGCGCCACCACACCTGGCTAATTTTGTAGTTTTTAGTAAACATGGGGTTTCACCATCTTGGCCAGGCGGGTCTCAAACTCCTGACCTCAAGTGATCCTAAAGTGCTGGGATTACAGGCGTGAGTCACCGTGCCCAGTCTGTTTTTCTTTTAATGCTGTGAAATATGTAAAAAATAGATTTGGGAGAAATAAAGGCTTCAAGAAGGAAGTGGCGTTTGAGCTAGTAATAAAAATATATACTTATTTTTTAGCTCTAGAAATAGAAAGAGGTCTTTGATTAGAGACATTACCAAGAATAAGTAAAACCTGATAATGAAATAGATTTTGAAAGAAATGTGAGGAAGAAAAGAAAAGCATTTCATAGGAGGGTAAGGTGGCAAATAGCAATGTTAGTATTAAGCAATACGGGAGCAGTTGCAGATTTTGTGGGAAAGATATTGACTTATTTAGAAATGCGAAAGGTAAGAAAAGTACATCACACTAGACACCTTCCCTTCAACAGAGAAGCTGTTGGCACTCCAGCCTCCAGCCAATCCTTCCACATGTGCTTTCTTAAGAACATTACACTATTGATTATCTCTTCTCTCATGTCAGCTCAAAGAATTGGAACTTTTATTGTATGAAAGCACATTAAAAATATGTAGAGGGCATTTGTTCCAGCATTTAGTATTAATCACTCTGACAAAATGCCATTATCATTCAAAACTGTTAAATATTTAACATCCCCTAAGTACCTGAAATGTGCCGTGTACCAAACTGAACTCATGCTCCTTCTCCCAGTTTTCCCCATCTCTTTGAATGGCTCCATTACTAGTTTAGTTGAAAAATCTGGAAACCTAAGCACCATCCCTTGTACCTCTTATAACTTCATTCTCATAGCGAATCAGTTGCTATACCTACGCAATTTTATTGAGCAGTCTGTATAAGTCTGGAATCACTACTTTCCAATAGCATTGCAGTAAACTTAGTCTGAATTTAACTGGACTATTGCAAAGACTTCCTAAGTGGCCTTCATGCCCACTGTTGCATCTCGTCTGTCCAGTCTAGACTGCATCTAGTGATACCTTGTCAGAAGTGATCACGTCTTCTCACTTCTGTAAGTCATTCAATGACTTTCTGGTGGTCTTTACTATGTGCTGACTTATGTGCACCCAAAATTCATATGTTGAAGACCTAATCTCCAATTTGACTAAATGTGGAGATTAGGTCTTTAGGAAGTAATTAAGGTTAAAATAGGTCATAAGGGTGAGTGAGGTTAATAGGACTGAGCCCTTATAAGAAAAGGGAGATCTCTTTTGCCCTCTCCTGCCACCCCCTTTCCCTGCTATGTGAAGACACAGTAAGAAGGTAGCCATCTGCAAGCAAGAAGAAGGCCCTCACCAGAACCTGGTCTCAGATTTCTAGCCATCAGAACGATGAGAAAATTAATTTCTGCTGTGTAAAGTCACCCAGTCTATATTATTTTGTTGCAGTTGCCTAAGCTGACTAATACAGTCTTTTCACAACAACTAAATTATTAAGAATGGAGTGACTATCACCTACTAATCCACCCTTATTTTATACTATACTCCACTGCCACCCCCATGCCCCAGTCTCTGATTCCAGCCCACAGAGCATCATTTCATGTTCTGGAACACCATATAGCCATTTTTTTTTTTTTTTTTTGAGACGGAGTTTCACCCTTGTTGCCCAGGCTGAAGTGCAATGGCGCGATCTCGGCTCACTGTAACCTCTGCCTCCCAGGTTCAAGCAATTCTCCTGCCTCAGCCTCCTGAGTAGCTGAGATTACAGGCATCTACCACCACGCCTGGCTAATTTTTGTATTTTTAGTAGAGACAGGATTTCACCATGTTGGCCAGGCTGGTCTTGAACTCCTGACCTCAGATGATCCACCCGCCTTGGCCTCCCAAAATGCTGGGATTACAGGCATGAGCCACGGCACCCAGCCCATAAAGCCTTTTAACATGTTCATTGCAACACCTGGGACATGATTTGTTTAGCTGCCTCACACTCATTCTTCATATTTCAGCTTAAACATCACTCTCTAGCAAAGCCTTCCCTGACTCTGACCCCACCTGACCTTTGCCCTGTTTCCCCTTATATGCCTTCATTGCTCATTGATTTTCCTATAAAGCAGTTTGGGTTTGTTGTTGTTGTTTTGAGATGGAGTCCCACTCTGTCTCTCAGGCTGCATTGCAGTGGCGCGATGTCTGCTCACTACAACCTCCAACCCCCAGGCTCCCGGCCCCGAGATTCAAGCACTTCTCATGGCTCAGCCTCCTAAGTACCTGAGACTACAGGCACGCACCACCAAGCCCAGCTAATTTTTGTATTTTTAGTTGACACGGGGTTTCGCCATATTGGCCAACCTGGTCTCGAACTCCTGGCCTCAAGTAATCCACCTGCCTTAGGGTCCAAAGTGATGGGATTAGAAGTGTGAGCTACCACGCCCAGCCAACATTAAGGATCTTGAGAGATTGTCCTGGATCATGTTTGTGGGCCCTAAATGTAATCACAAGTATCTTTATAAGAGGGGCACAAAGGGAGATTAAACTACAGAAGGCAAGTGATGACTGAGCAGAGACTGAAATGATGTGGCCACAAATCAAGGAATGCTGGCAGCCAATTAGAAGCTGAAAAATTCCAGGCCAAGAATGGATTCTTCCCTGGGACCTCCAGAAGGAGCTAGCCTTGTCTTTGATTTTAGCCCTGTAAGAATCGCTTTGGAATTCTGGTCCCTAGAACTATGAGAGAATAAAGTATTGTTGTTTTAACCCATTAAGTTTGTGGTAATTTGTTATCACAGCAATGGGAAACTAATAAAAGGAGTAAAACTGTAAATTCAAAACAATAAAATATCTATTTCTGAAGTAATGACCTGGACAGACTGTAAAAGTTGGATATTTTTGTAGGCATAATTTCTCAACTAGCTCTATGCCTTAGATATTTTTAATATTTATATGTTTTCCCTAAATATTCATTTTGATTTCTCATAGCTTTGAAGGTATCACTTGTGAAATGTCTGTATTATTTGAGGTATGTAAAGACATTGTTAAACAGTCTTTGTTTGTCTTTGTTTCAGTAAATCCTCAGCAGTTTCTAACTGGAAAAGAGGATAAAGATTTTCATCCAGATTGGGAACAAAGCAGACTTGGCCCATTGTTTCTTTTCCACTACAGCCTAGAGATACCAGCTTACAGGATGATGTCAGATCAGTTCATGTACCTTAATTGTGTTTTTACATAAATGTAGTTTATACCTCTAGAGGCAACATAAAAATAAGAACTTTCAGCACCCTGAACACAGTTGAACGTGTGGACATGTACGAGTTGGACTTATGGTCCCTTCCTTTCATGTTAGAGAGCCACCCCTAATTTCTAGCCTACCCCTTATCTTCAGCCAGAGGAAAGCAGTGGATCCTTTCCATAGCCTACATTCTCCAGCAGCTGCCTTCATTCCGGCTTGAAAGGAACTCCCTGGCAGCCCATTGGCCCAAGAGTAAGGAAATGGTTGCTTAGCAACTGACTCCTGCCCCCACCACAGCCCTGAGAAGAGGAGCTCTTGGGCCAACCACCTAGTTTCTGCCTGTGTTACAGTGAAGAGGAGTTGCTTAAGAGAAGATGAAGCCCTTGTCTCTGTTAATAGAGATATTGATAATTCTTGGGGTCACAATTAAAAGTAAGTTTTTTTTGTCCTTACAGTTCTCTGTGAGGGTCTTTTCTCTTTGCTCAAACAGTGCCAAGGGCAGAAGCCAATCAAAAGATTAGAACTTTACTATATCCCTAAGTAACGCCATTTTTGTACAGGTATTTTAAAATGTGCAATGAGAAGAACAGATGATAATGATAGTCTCACTTGGGATAATACTTGGGAAGGGTGTGGGTGATGGGGAGAAAACAAATCTGTGAGAAAACCACTACAGTAATTGTTATAAAGTAGGGATATTTAGGGCAAGTTGTTAAGTGTTATTAAATTTAGAATATCATAAAGGTCTAGTTCCAAGACTTTAAAGGAAAAATATAGGACTCAAAGAGTTTGAAAGATTCATAAACATGTTCTTTTAAAATATTTACACAATAACAATTTCACTTCCAAAGTTTCAGTGTTTCCTGTATAGTTACTATCTGAAAATGGAAGTTATTTTCCAATCTTGTTTCTTTGGCCATTTTTTGAGTTACTTTTTACCCAATCCTCATATAATGTGCTCATGATAAATTCAACTTAATAAATATTCATTTGGTCCCTGATTGTCTAGTGGTTAGAATTCGGCACTCTCACTGCCACAGCCCAGGTTCAATTCCCTGTCAGAGAAAAGAAAAGAAAAAAAAGGAAATATTTGGATTTTACCCAGAAATGTAAGATTGGTTTACCATCCATAAAGTAATCAATGTAACAATCACATCAATAGAATAAAAGACAAAGATCACATGATCATTCTAAATCTAGTAAAAGCATTTGACAAAATTCAACATGCTTTGTGATAAAAATGTGTGACAAACTAAGAATAGAAGGAAACTTTATCAACCTGATATATCAAAAAACCCAAAGCTACTATATTTAATGGTGAAAGACTGAATGCTTTACCCCTAACATCAGGAATAAGACAAGGATGTCCACTTTTGCCATTTCTATTCAACATTGTACTGGAAGTTCTAGCCATGGCATTTACACAAGAAACAGAAGTAGAAGACATCAAGCTTGGAAAGAAAGAAGTGAAATTATCTGTATTCACTGATGACATGATCTTGTATACAGAAAATCCTATGGAATCAAGTACACAACTATTAGAACGAATAAATGAGCTCCACAGCACTGCAGAATAAATACAAAAAACGGTTCCATTTCTATACAGTAGCAATGAGAAACCAAAAATGAAATTAAGAAAGAAACTTTATAATAGTATCAAAAAATGAACTACTTAAGGATAAAGTTTACAAAAAAAATGCAAAACTCATCTTCTGATAACCACAAAAATTGTTTAAAGAAGTTAAAGACAACCTCACTAAATGAAAAGACTTCCCATGTTCATGGACTGGAAAACTTAATATTGGTAAGATGGCAATACTCTCCAAATTGATCTACATATTCAACACAGTCTTTATTTATTTGTTTATTTTTTTTTTTTTTTGAGATGGAGTTTCGCTCTTGTTGCCCAGGCTGGAGTGCAATGACGCAATCTCAGCTCACTGCAACCTCCGCTTCCTGGGTTCAAGCGATTCTCCTGCCTCAGCCTCCCAAGTAGCTGAGATTACAGTCGTCTGCCACCACACCTGGCTAATTTTTTGTATTTTTAGTAGAGACGGGGTTTTACCATGTTGGCCAGGCTGGTCTTGAACTCCTGACCTCAGGTTATTCACCGGCCTCAGCCAGCCAAAGTGCTGGGATTACAGGCATGAGCCACCGCACCTGGGCTTCAACACAATTTTTATGAAAATCCCAGCTGACTTCTCAAAAATTGGCAAACTGGTCTTAAAATTCATATGGAAAAAAATGTTCCTGAAAAAGAAGAATGAAGTTGGAGGACTCACACTTCCCAATTTCAAAACTTACTACAAAGCTGCAGTAATCAAGACAGTATGGTCCTGATGTGAAAATAGACATATAGATTACTGGAATAGAATTGAGAGTTTTACAAGTAAACTGTCACACTTATCATCAATTGATTTTTGTCAAAGATGCCATGAAAACTCAGTGTGGGAGGTGCTGGAGGAGATAATCTCTCCAACAAACGGTGCTGGGACAACTGGATAACCACATGAAAAAAATGAATTTGAAAAAATTAAATAAAACAATTTTTAAAAGCTAGGCACAATGGTTCCTATCTGTAATCCCAGCACTTTGGGAGGCCAAGGCAGAAGGATCACTTAAGGCCAGGACTTCGAGACCAGCCTGGTCAACATAGCAAGAACCTCATCTCTTTAAAATTAAATTAAAAGATAAATAAAAATTTCGTAAGAATGAATTTCTACCCCCACCTCATACCTCATATACACAAATTAATTCAAAATAGATCAAAGACATATACATATAGCTAAGGATTTAAAACTCTTAGAAGAAAACATAGACATAAATCTTCCTAACTTTGGATAAGCAATGATTTCCTAGATATGCCACCAAAAGCACAAGCAGAAAAGGAAAAACCAAACTGATTATCAAAACTCTTCTGCTTTGGAGGATATCATCAAGAAACTCAAACGACAACCCACAGAATGAGAGAAAATTTTTGCAACTCATATATCTGATGAGAATTCAGTATTCAGAGTATACAAAGAACCTTACAACTCATCAACAAAATGACAACCCAATTTAAAAATGGGCAAAGAAATTGGATAGACAGTTTCCCAAAGAAGAACAAATGACCAAGCACATCAAAGATATTCTACATCATTGGTCATTAAGGAAATGAAAGCAAAAAGCCAGTGAGTTATCACATCACACCCAGTAGGATGGTTATAATCAAAAAACAGGAAATTATCGGCCGGGCACGGTGGCTCACACCTGTAATCCCAGCACTTTGGGAGGCTGAGGCAGGTGGATTACGAGGTCAAGAGATCAAGACCATCCTGGCCAACCAACATGGTGAGACCCCGTCTCTATTAAAAATACAAAAATTATCTGGGCATCATGGCAGACACCTGTAGTCCCAGCTACTCAGGAGGCTGAGGCAGGAGAATCGCTTGAACCCGAGAGGCAGAGGTTACAGTGAGCCGAGATTGCACCACTGCACTCCAGCCCAGGCGACAGAGCGAGACTCCGTCTCACAAAAAAAAAAAAAAAAAAAGGAAATTATCAAATTTTGGAAGGATATAGAGAAACAGGAGCCTTAACACATTGCTGGTGTGAATATAAAATGGTATAGTCACAGTGGAAAACAATGTGGCAGTTTCTTAAAAAGTGAAACATAGATTTACTAGGTTGGTGCAAAAGTAATTGAAGTTTTGGCATTAAAAGTAATGGAGAGGCCGGCTGTGGTGGCTCACGCCTGTAATCCCAGCACTTTGGGAGGCTGAGGCGGGAGGATCACAAGGTCAGGAGATGGAAACCATCCTGGCTAACACGGTGAAACCCCATCTCTACTAAAAATACAAAAAATTAGCCAGGCGTGGTGGCCGGCGCCTGTAGTCCCAGCTATTCGGGCGACTGAGGCAGAAGAATGGCGTGAACCCGGGAGGCGGAGCTTGCAGTGAGCCGAGATGGTACCACTGCACTCCAGCCTGGGCAACAGACCGAGATTCCGCCTCAAAAAAAAATAATGGAGAAAACCATAATTACTTTTGCACCAACATATGCAATGTGACCTATTAATTCCACTACTAGGTATATAACCAAGAGAAATGAAAACATAGTGTTCACACAGAAATTTGTACACAAATATTTATAAAACCATTATTCACTGTAGCTTAAAGGTGGAAACAACCCAAATATTGACCAACAAATGAGTACATAAACAAATTGTGGTATTTACACTGGAATATACATAGGATGGAATATTACTCAGCCATAAAAAAGAATGAAGTACTGATACGTGTTACAATTTGGATGAACCTCAAAAACAGTTGTGCTACATGAAAGAAGTGACACAAAAGGCTGCATATTGTATGATTCTTATTTTATGAAATATCTGAAATAGGCAAATTCAGAGAGATGGAAAGCAGATTACTGGGTTAGGGGATGGCAGAGGGGAGAAAGAGGAGTGACTACTTAATGCGTACAGAGTGTACCTCCAGGATGATGAAATTTTGAAACTGTAGAAAGGTGATGGCTGTATAACACTATGAATGCACTAAATGTCACTTAACTGCACACTTTAAAAGGGGTAATTGTATGTTACATGGATTTCACCTCAATTTTTTTAAAATGTTGCAATGCTTGGAAAACGGGCAATTCCTCAAAAGGTTAAACACAAAGTTACTATATGATCTAATAGTTCCATTCCTAGGTATATATCCAAGAGAATTGAAAACATATTTCCATACAAAAACTTACACATAAATGGTAGCATTATTCATAAATAGACAAAAAGTGGAACTAGCGCAAAAGTCCAACAACTGATGAACAGATCAACAAAATGTGGTATATCCATACAAAAGAATATTCAGCAAAAACCACAAACAAAGTATGATATGGATAACCTTGAATACATGCTAAGCAAAAGAAGGTAGACACAAATGGCCCCATATCATGTGACTTCCTAGGTATGAAACATCCGTAATAAGCAAATACACAGAGACTGAAAGTCCATTACTGGTTACCTAGGCCTGGGAGGTATGCGGGAATTGGGGTGATGATGACTTAGGGGTACAGGATTTCTTTTGGGGTAATGAAAATTGTTCTCTGATTGTGGGATGTTTGCACAAATTTGTGAATATCCTAAAGGCCATTGAATTGTAGAGGGAAAAAATAAATCTTTAATGAAGGTTATACACCAAGAGTATTGGGGATATAAGAATATCTAAGAACAGTCCATATCCTCGAGCAGCTTAGAGTCTCGAAGAGAAAAACCAAAATAACTAATGAACAAATTGTAAAGTGTTGTAGGTAATAAAACAGAAGCATTTACAGGGTACTGTAGGGCACAGAATGAAGGAGAGGTCAATTCTACTGGTGTGTGGAGTAGTCAGAAAGGCTTCACAAAGGAAATGGCATAGACCAAATCTTGAAAGATTAGTCAGTGTTCA